TTAAGTGCTGGACCTGCAGAGTTGTTCCTATAACCGTTAACCAGCTAAGGTAGTGTTCCTCTCCTGGAGTATAACCGAGGTATAAACTGACTAATTTATGCTGTTGCAAGGGCAGCTTGCTTTTGGTGTTGTCAACGTTTGGGCATTGTTGATGCATTGTTTTACGGACAATCGCGTCCATGCCGTTTTATATTCATCACCCATACTGGTTTGCATACCCGGTGTGTGGTCAGTCGCTTGAAGACCTAAACAGCCTTATAAAGACGTTAATGAAAACCTATGGTACGGTTATGAAATCACTTTAAAGTGTAACACAATTTCAAACGTACTTCGATTTGGTGGTGGGAATTGAAACAGATCAAAATAAGGGCCGCAATTCTATACGTGTATCCTAGGAACAGTAATGCACCGAATGTCTGTACATTTGTAAGCCCACTTGTGTCAGATGCAACGTTTTTCATTGCCTCCTTCTTAGCCTGATAAACGACAGATTGAGAGCATTTTAAAAATGTGCGAGAATGCATGACACGTTTGAAATTACATTTCACAGATTTTAACAAACTGAAAGGGAAAAAATTTCCGAAATATATTAGTCGAAAAATTTGTGGTAGCTCAAAGTTTAAGCAGACAGCCTGACAACATAGTTCTCAAACACGCTTAGTAGTGTCACTGAAATTCTTTATGAAGTACGTCATAGCTACTAGTGTCACAGGTAACACAGATAGGCAAATATGCAGACCGATAAATAAACGCAGGTTCAATGTTCAGCGGAAAAGGTTTCCTTATCTACGAATCATTTTTAAGAACTGTGCGATCGTAATTACAGTTGTAACGAACTGCTTACCCGTCGTCAGCAACTGCGTCAATAAGGTATGACCAAAGGCGATCAGTAAATTTACGAGGTGATAACGGCCAGGGCCTCGACTCAGGCTTATCAAAATTGACTAAGGCGTCTACAACAGGTAAACGAAGATAAAGTAAGAGCATTAACGAGGTGCCGGTAGGTACCAGCAGGGCGAAGTTGGAGATTGAATTCATCTCTTTCGAAGGCGATGGTCAGGCTTGCACCTCTGTGGCACCTCTATCTGGATTTCCCATTTCACCTACTCTTGTGGAGCTGGTTACGCGGGAAGTGAAACGTGTCCTCATTCAACCGCATCCGCTGACACCATCCCGAATGGCTGTCTGAGGGAGAGTGCAAAACTATCAGCAGATGGATTTCTAGGCAATACGTTAACTCTGGTTGCCTTACCCCATGGAATTGTTTCATTGTCATCTGTGAAGTTAAAAGGAACACTTCAAATTACTTGGTTTTCGCCTGCTTCTGTGGCGTGTGGCGACTTGAACCGGTGCACTTGTGCGCAGGGTTGCATGTTGATTGCATCTGTCTGTCTCTCTAGTATTTTATACGCCTGGTGTCTTAGTTCAAGACATTTGGGTTAATCAGAATCAGTCAAAGGGATATCACACTTATTATATAACAGCACATACGTACTCCCTGCTAAGCTCAGCTTTTTGACAGGTACTGGACCGAGGTACACTCTGTGAGTTCTTTGCTTCAGCAGTAAATGAATAGCCTGGGAGGAGGATGCTTTACCATCGGTGTCCGTGAACAGTCGATGCTTCCACTTACCGATGTAGTTATCCATTTTGTCAGGAAAACAATTTACTTTAGTGTCTCCTCTTCGGGCAGTTAAAATGTAAGCGGCTGACAAGCTTGTACGAATCACTGCACAAAATGCACGTGTTTGCCACATTATCCTTTTTTGCAGTTTTTATGATGTTTAATCTACCATAACTTGCTACTTTGCCTATTTCTAAAGTAGGTTTCAAGCGTACGCAAATCCGTGTGCACTGCTGAAGATGATTTTAAGAATCTCTCAAACCAGGCTTCGTCACTCTCCCTTCCTCTAGAGTACTAACAGCAATCGACTTTCTTCTCGGTCGTGACAGCAGCTGTTTACACACGTCTAGTTGGAATACAAACTAGACCGAAGAAACTCACTGTTGTTACGCTGTTCAAAGACTGCCACCCCTACACCAGTTTTCTTCACACCCTAACCGCTTAAGTTATTTCCATCCTTCTTACTCGCTATGATTTAACTTCACTCACCTAGGTTCTGCACATTTTGCACCCCTGTGGTTTAACATGGGTGTACGCAGACTACCCCCTCGTTTCATTTCTCTCTGCCTTTTACTCGCACACGTTTATCTTCCTAGGCCATCTCTTCACCATTCTAACTCCCTCTTACGTTCAGTTCAGATAACTGTCCGGTAACTCGATATTTAAAGAACTCAATTACAGTGCAGTCCCAGGTCAATTAACCAACGTCCGACCAACTGTTGGGAGTATCATAGCTATAGTAAACGAGTGACTACGTCTACTGCTTCGGAATCCGCCGAAAACATGGAACATTTTCTCAAGAGCAGTAAGCGAGCATGAAGAAGTCCAGAGACAGGTGAGAGAGGGAGTTTAAGGAAGAGGGCGGAGTGGCAATGTTTATAAGTGACGATCTTAAAAGTGAACGAGAAGCCGAAACTCTACTTTTAGGGCTCCTAGACTCCACCCGGTGTCACTTTACGGTTTGGCAAACCAGACACCTAGTAGGGTGAGCGTTTATAGAACTCTTACTAGCAACGTGGAACATTATGGACAACTGCTGCAAGTAATGTCCGAAGCGGCGTCCATCGGATATGACCAAGTCATCCGGCCGGCTGTGTTGAAACAAGGCACCGGTGCTTGTGCGTTCCGCTGCGCAATCTGTTTCAATACTCCTTGGACAACCACATGCTTCCACGAGACTGGAAAAGGGCTGTTCTGCCCCCCATCTTCAAAGGAGGAGACAGAAAGAGTTCAAAATGCTATTGACACACAGCCCTTCCACCATTAGTGTCAAAAGTAATAGAGAGCCTGGTAGACGACCATGTCAGACAGTACTTGGAGAAGAGAGGAGCACTGAGCGATGCTCATAGCGGTTCCAGAAAGAGTAGGCTCTATGCCACAAACATTCTAACGGCAGGTGATAAGTGGACGGCATGCTGAGACCTCCAAATTCCTGTCCACGTTATTTTCCAGGATTTTGCTAAGGCCTATGACACAGTCCCACATACCATTCTTATTCACAAGATGCCAGGGTTGGGGCTCAAGGGACAAGTGCTCTCCTGGTTGCAGGGCTATTTAGACGGCGGACAATTCTGCACAAAAGCCGACAGAGTTTACCCAACTGGGAGGACGTAGTCATCTGGTGTATCACAAGGAGCGATTCTGGGTCCACTGCTATTCCTTCTTTTTGTGAACGACCTCCCAATGAATCTCAGCTCCCCAGTTCTACTCTACGCTGATTCTGTTAAGTTATGAAGAGCTGTCACGTCGGAAACGAAATCAAGCGCACTGCAAAGTGACGTCAGATTACTTGCAGAGTGAGTGGATTCTAATGGGCTAGAAGTTAATCCGGATAAGTGCAGAACCATCTCTTTCCGCACCCCAGACTCTCAGAAGGTACCCTGTTCTCTCTGTGGAACGCAACTTTTCCACACCACCACGGAGAAAGACCTAGGACTAATACTGACTGACAAACTAGACACTAGCTCCAATTATCCAGGAGACGCCTCCAGAGCCTATGCTGTGCTGCACTTCATGTGCAGATGACTAAGTACCCTGACCCCGGAACTCTTTTTGAAGCCCTACAGGACCTACATACGACCTCACTTAGAGATTCACAACGTCACTGCACCACCATATCTAAGGAAGGCCGTGAAACTCCTAGAAAAAGTCTAAACGCGAGCCACAAAGATTGCCGTGGGAATGAGGCGAAAACCCTATGAGAACAGGTTGAAAGAACTAGGACCCTGTTCTCTAAGCTGCCGTGGATAACGTGGTGACTTGATAACGGCTTACAGAATACTAAGAAACCCAAGTCATCTGAACGGTGGAATCTTGCTGAAAGGCCACTGTGGTAATCCTCGTGGTAGCCTAAGGAGAATCACCCACCAAAGGGCGAAAACCCGTGTGCGGTCACACTTTTTCTCTCTGCGAGTCTGCGGCCACTGGAACATATTGCTTGCCGAGACTGCTGCTGCTCCGTCTATTGACAGCTTCAGAGAGAGATTGGACAGTTACGCAGCGGCGCATGGTTTGCGCTCATCCAGCTGAGATATGGACTAGGCTGACACGAACTACCAACGCATCACGACCAACCCATTATCGAATACTTCTTCGCACCACTATCACTGGGAACTTAGCTCAACCTCAAACCTCCGCACAGACGTCCCCGCCAGTTACCATCTCCTACTAATAGAATTACTATCTCTATTAACATCCGCCCTATAATGCTGTATACTCCTCTTCCTACTGACCTTACGTTTCCTTTTTCGTAATCGTCGTCTTCTTTTCTTTTCCAATTTTTTCTTTGCACTTCCTGTTCCTTTGATCTTTCTGGACGTATTTTCTATCCCCTTTTTACAAGCAGTCAGACCAATTGTCTGCTGGTGTGGCACTTGAGGGACCCATATGCACTACAGTCCTCGGAAAAAAATAACAACAACTGCCTACAAATTTAACCTACAGCAAACCGCAGGTCTGGCTAACCAGAGCTGCAGCATTCGGGTGGGTAGACATACTGCATCGGAATCCACCAAGGACCTGAAACCGTCCCGCTAGACCTAGAAGTGAGCGCGAAGAAATCAATTAGTTTGCACTAGCTAGTAAAAATATACTGGATATTGGACTGTTTACACGCATACTGGATATTAGGTGTACCTTTTAGGTAGGTACAATGTAACTTTTCCCACTGTTTTGTTGTTCCTTTACAAGCAGCTATATAGAAAGGAGTCACGAAAGACTCCTAATCTTCCAAGTTGCACGCAGCTCACTAACTAACTCAGTCTACAAGCTACGATAATCAACCCACAAAAATTCATGTAACCGGAGATGAAAGCAGGGGAGCAGAGGAGTTTTCCATGTCTACAACACTAACAAATCAAAAATCAAGGCCAGGCATCTAGAATTAAATACCAGAGGTCAAAAGCTATCAGTTTCACACACTTTTACTATTGACGTTGCATGCTGAAGGCTGTTGCACGCCGCCATTTGTTTTAGTTGTTCTTTAATACAAACCAACGGAGTCAAGTTTCCTTCTTGTTTTCGCTCACATCAGCTATGTATTGTCTGATCCTCTGCAAAGAAGAATATGCATCAGGAAACCTTAGCACTGCTAAGTACTTAAGGTATTTTTCTCTAGATATCACTGCTGATTTGTTGGATGCAGTGAAATGTTTGAACTCTACCTTGAAGCCGAATTTGTAAAAATTGTAAATGTCGACTATGAAGGATCCTTGAAAGATGTGGAAAACTTCAATCTATCTACCTCTAAACCGAAGCTTGCGATCGCACTTCATTTACGGCGGTGCTGGCATTTGGTTAACCGTAAGTTTCCGACACGTTATTTTAAAATAAGATGAAACTTTTATTATATTCTGTTGAAAATGCAACTTCACAAACATTATTTTAACTTGGCGCTGTACAGTTTATAGCTTTTTGATCATTTGTGGCCATTCATTTCACATCATGAGGTATCTTGCATACTTTCCATTCAGTTATATTGTAATGAAATATTCATGCTGTTATTTTAGAAAATAGATTAGTTTCCCCCACATCTAATATATGTTACAAAGATCCAAAACGGCCTAACATTTAGGGAAACATCTGTAATCAAGACTTCATACTTTTAACTGTCACTGACATTTTTCAGTTTCTAATGCTTTTTTTATTCACCAGTGAGTACAATGCTATTCTTTATGCTCTCAAAACAGCGATGTCATTCGTTTGTGTAAAAAACTGCAAGCTGTCAGTCCATATTCAATCCTTCTAATCATCATCTCCATCAAAGTTCAGTTTCTTCTTGATTGCGACCACCGAGATGCCTACTAATCCCTTTTTTGGTAACGAGTTCCAGTGATATACCGCTCTATGGAAGAACCAGTACTCCACCTGAATACCACTCGATCACAGCCATTTGATCTTTTTTTGATACTTTTAAAGTTGTTTCACTCCAAAACGAGTAGCCAAATTTAGTGAATCAATACCTAGATCATTATTCGGAACGTGGGAGTCTAAAATCTGATCACATTTTTCCTGCCATAAGGTAAAAAAGGATTTGTTGTTGCTTATCGTAGGAGGCGTTGGCGAGATCTGTCACTGGCCTGATGGCAACCCTTCGTGGTCTTTCTGGTGTACCAGTTTCTTTTGTGAAGTATGAACTATGGGCTTCCACATAATACTCAAAATGTGACCTTACATAAGTGGAACATAAGATCCTAAAGATCTCTTCATCAAGGTATTTGAATGTTATGCAGAGCAAACAGAAGCTTTGGCTGCATAAAAGTTACAACTAGAACTTGTTTTTAAGTGGTGACTAACGATAACCTCGAAGTCTATTGGTTCCAGTATGCGAGGTATTGTCTGGCCATTCATTGATCAGCCACCAGTAAAGTCATTCGCAATGAACACAACCGTACGTTTACGGAAATAGATTTCAAAGCTTCATCGTTCAGACCTTTCAATGAGTTAATTGTTGCTTTTCTGTCAGTAGATTACAAGTCAGTTTGCAGTTTATGTAGTGTTTGCAGTTAATGCAATACCATCATTATATACTTAGTAAAGTGGAAAAGTTACTAAGTGTAAACCATTTTTTGCCATTTTGTCTCAAGATATTCCCTTTAGTTTTACTGAGAACCGGTAGGATTAGACTGTAAGGTTATACGCAACGTTTCTCCATCTTGGTCAAAGATGTGACTGCTTTTAAAACATTCGTACCAGAAATCCTTTCAACGTTTTAAGGTTCTCTTATCGCTGCACGGAGCATTTTCACTTCTTGTGTTACTGCAGCCAACACATTAAATTCAAGAAGATCTCATGTAGCTTTGGTATGACTTTTACTTCAAACGCCATGAGTTTTTATACGGGTAGGATTTTAGAAAAGATGTGTTTTGCATCCCCAAGGTCACCAAAATTAAGTTTTCTGTACGTCAAATAAGTGAGAAGCGTGTGGATGCAACATCATGGGTAATGCGAAAACACTTTGAATCATTTTGTAGATATCCAAACCAAGTTGGGATTTGATGGCTTAGGAAAATTTGAGCACGGGGCGAATGATACTCATTATTTTGGCATTTTTATTTCCCAACGAATATGGGTCATTTTTCACACTCATTTATGCAAACTTAGATTCATTTGTACGGCAGTTTCAGGACACAACTCACAATAAGTATATTAGGCAGCTCTTTATGAAGAAACAGGTCTGTCGCATATTTAGCCTTATAAAAGCAGTTAGTATACCTATTTTAACATATGTGATTCAATAAAATATTATCAGTTACATTATTCGCCTCTTATTACATGCAACAGAAATTGAGACCAGTTAATTCCACGTTTGTTGATGTTATGACGACCACGGGGTTGTAAGAGATGCTGTTAGGAATTTTGAGCAGATGAAGGCTGGCGAAAACATTACAGTCTCACTGTACTTGGGCACAATTTCACAAAAGAACGGCAACAGAATAGTAATTCAGTCTCATATCCGAAAATTAGACGCTGCATAAACTAAATGAATCAGAAAGCTTGTGGTTTTTCTTATAACAGACAAGTTTTTAGGGTTAATAACAAAACCATTGCGGTTAGATTTTAGTAGAAACATGAATATTCAACTACCTTGCAACAGTCGGTAAAAGTTGGAACTACATTCTCTCCATTTCCTTTTTGAGAAAAATGCAAAGTTACTTGAAACAAACTAAATTCTGTAAATTTCGATAGCATAATTGGAAGATGAAGTTTATCTGAACAATGTGATGTATTTGTGCAATACATTTGACCACGCACTTACTTGTCAAGTCAGTATGTATTAAACTGAGGAATGAGAGGACAAATACAACAATTAACACATTAGGGGATTAAAACTATGAAACATAAGAACAAACAGGAAGTGACCTAATTGATCCTAATCTTGGTAAGATAACAAAGTTTACCAAGGTAGGCTTAGTGTAGGGACAAATTTTTTGTACACATCATATATAACAATAACAATATATAATAATAATGATATAAAATTTGTGTATGACTATGGCTTCTGCAAATCTCAGTATACGTCCGTGACTGTTTCCATATAAAACTTTGAAAGCTGCGTGAACATTAACTTTGTGACCTGTCCCTATAATATGTTTAACAATAGATGAAGAGGGTCGTCTCCCACCAGCGTTTATCACTGTCACACCTTATTTGTTTTTGAAGCCATTTAGGTACATGTTCTCCCACCCTCAGCTGCATGACATGATTACTCCTTCATATGTATGTGTGACCACACACACATGCATGTAAATTGGTAAACATAATGGGATGTGACGCAGTCATTGTTGCAGTGTTTACGATGTTGGTACAGCATGTGTTTTGTTTTTTCGCAATGAGATTAGCCGCATAATATTTTTTCTTAACGGCTGAAGTCAGCATACGTCTCAAAATGATACTATTCAACTCCCCTCTGTATGGTAGAGTGATATGTATGCTTTTTTGGGAACCATGTTCAGAGTTGACCTAAGTTTTACTTCACCTCTACGATGGTCTATAAAGTTTATCGGATATCCATTTTTCACAACAGTTTTGGTCAGTAATTTGATATCTCCATCCATCGTATCTGGTGTATTGATACGATAGATCCTATTAAACAGGGATTTTATTAGATCTTGATTGTATTGTATTGGACAAAAACTGCAAAAATTCAGGTATTATGTTGTTCATGTAGGCTTTCTGTAAATTGACCGTCACATTGAACTATCTTCTCGTCGACTCAGAAGTATATCTGGAAATGGCAGATGATTATTATTCTCTTTCTCACAAGTCAGGCTGATATGAGTTTGTACGGTGTTAAGTCTTTTTAGTAGAAAATCATATCTTCATACCTCTCACAAATCAGTATGATATCATCAACATATCTTTTCTAAAGGGGAACTCTAGAGCTGTATTGCGCAAATGCGTCATAGTTTTCAGATAAACTTCGTCTTCTAATTACGTTATCAAAATGCACAAAAGGGACTAACTGTTTCAAATTCTGTAAACTGTCCAGTGAATTCATTTTGAACGTCTTTGCAATCTCACTGTCAGGAACTATTCCTCTGAAATTTTTAAAGTTGTTTGCAATCAGCTCTAAGTGCTAAAAGAGTGGTATTTTCAAATAGCACATTCCTAAATTTCATGAGCGATTGCACTGCATTCAAACATTATCTATCACTACAAGTTTGGATTGTATCTACCTATGGTTATTTTTTCTTGTCCTTACTTAAAATCCTCCCACCCTTCGGAAACTTGAAGGATGTATGCACTTTAAAAAAGCATTTTGATGGATGTTTCGCAAAGATCCAACATTTTAAATTGCTCGAACTCTGTATATTATTAATGGTACTAACTTACATACTTTTGTATGGTGATAATCAGTCAGTTAGAACCAACGTAAGAGGTGATAATAGTATATAACGGCTCCCGTTGCCACACTTCATATCACCAAGTCAAAGTGGGAGGAATCAAGATAAAAGATAGGTGAATAAGGAAGAAAGCAGTCAGCAGCAGAAAGTTGAGAAAGAAGAACATGAAATAATGAGACAGTATTAAATTCGGTGTGACTGTAAGTTTGAGGACAGTATGAGAGTGTGTACGAGCCAATGTCATAGATTTCGAGACATCTCTATTAGTCACCAACAAACACATTTGGTCATCACGCTTACCTCAGTCGGAAAGTTTACATCCCCCTACATATCAAAAACCAACAGTCAGCGACTTCATGGACTGGTGCTGCTTTATTTTGGCAGCCTTCAACATTTTCCGTTCCCCAGCCTATTTTAAATAACATTGCATTATGTAGCAGGGGGTGATTAGATATCTATAAAACATTTTGCAGCCACCTGAGAGTTCACAAAATCATCAACTGACTTTCCTCTTCTACCTAAAATCCTACCCTGAATTTTATGTTATTGATATGGTGATATCACGGAACATACCCTGCTCTACGAAGATGGTGATGGTCATAAACCTGAAGCTTCCTCATGTCGTCTACCTTCCAGTCTTGTTTTACGACTATATAATAAAATAGAGCAAACTGAATCCAGTCCACTGGGTCTTTCATAAGCAGTTGAATATCACGATGGTGCCATAAATTGCCTAAGTGAATGGAGGCCAGGTAATACTTCTGTATTTAAGTATAGGCTTCATACATCACTGAGCCGTCGAGAATAAGTGGAGTGGTCAGAGCAATCAACCTCTTCACTTCATATCGTCATACGAAGCACCAATGCCGTCGGGATCTGAAGTAACTATCTGCAGTTCGGTGGTGAGAAGTGCATCCCAAACATCCTCAGATTGTCACTTTTGATGTCTGGAAGACAATACATCTTCACCTGAATGAGCTTCTTCATCTATGTTGTCGAGTTCTGTCAAGGAGTCTTCTGTCAAAAGGTAACTCCCGGTAAAGTCAAATGACGAAAGAAAGACCACAACAAGTGTGACTATAACAAAAATAAAAAAGAATGGAGGGAGTTGGAATCCTTGAAGGACATCATTTAACTTACAAAACCCACCTGAAACTTCATCACTAGCCCTTAAATGCTCACGACATTTGCAATATGCAGCTTCAACAGAGTGATGCAGTTACCCTGCACCTCTGTTCCATGAGAAACACTGATATCAGGTCACCAGATAGGCAGAGTCAGATGCCTCTTTCAGGTCAGGAAATAATGCTAGAGTAAGATGCTGCTAAATGTGTATGTGTTCCAGAACCTGATAGAGGGTGAATATCTGTTGAATACGCCCAAAATCAGGCCCGAAGCCTGATGCACATTGCTCAGTTTTGCTGTTCTTTAGCTTCAATTACGCGTCTAATAATTGTTGAACCTGGAATCTTAGACACAGTGTTTATCGAAGAGCTTACTTTGTGGAAAACTTAATGAGATTTCTCTTCTTTCTTGAGGACTTATAAAAGCTGTGAATGAAACCAGCCGGAGGGGGATCATATCTGAATGTTTCACTCAGGATCTGACTATGTAGCCAGCAACAGAACAGTACCTGGAGATGGGTTGAATGGTACCCGAAGTGTTCCACTTATCGTTCCATCAATCTCATCTATGAGTAAATAGCGGACTCTTACTTTCTTGCTATAGTCTCAATAACCATTGAAATTTCTCTCCAGTTTCTTTGATACGTCCAGATGGCTTTCTACTCTTAGCTAAAATCACAGGATTTTCCAGCTTTTTCTGGCCTTCGCTACCTACCAATGCTCGCAGCCACTGTCTAGCCATTTATCTATCCACATTTCAGTTGAATCCGCTCTTCATTGAGCTGTGAACCTGCACTAATGCATCCAAAGGTATCTAACTATTTAAAAGAAGCTGCTGTGATCTACTGATGCTTTTTTATCCCTTTGTTAGAGTTGGTTCTTACATTAGACTGAAGATAGCACCGAGCTTCTCCTGGATAAGTGACATTATTTCACTTCGATAGCTGTCTGACTATTTTCTTGTTGAAAGAAACCTCAGTGTTCTCATTCTCGCACTGTGCTTGGAATGGTTTTGTTACAATGGTTTTCCTAAGTCCATTTAGACACAAGCATACACGTACTTTAAGCAACACATAATCACTACCATGAACATACTGTAGAAGGTGGGGAAATATTCCTCTTATCCTCCCTAGTGATAAGTTACTACTATATGCTCCATTTGTGTCCACTTTGGATTTAAGGCTGGCGGACGCCATGTCAAAATTGCATCTCTTCATGTCCTGGCCAGAAGTAGGTGGTTGTTTTAGCATAGGCAGAGCAAGTTTTCACCTTTGTGTGTTCTTTTGACTGAGATTCCGAAGTACTTTTCTACCTGAAATCATCTGCTACGACAAGCACATCTAAAGGTTTAGCTTTCAGTAGGAAGGTAGATGTTTTTCAGTAGAACTCATCCTTCACTTCATCCGAACTGGAGTTATTTCGCGAGCAAAAAATAGAATAAGACAGTGGTGGATTTCACTATTCCTTTTAGTTTTCACTACGCCATTCTGTCGAACAGCGCATAGACAACTGTCGAATGGGATCCAGTCTAATCGTGCACTCTGTGCCTTGACACTTAATGGTACAGCTATATCTGCAAGACCACGAGAACTAGTCGTCGAATCTTTAGTAACTCGAAGGGTAAATTTTACGGATTCACCATATTGGTCGGATGAAGTTAAGCAGATAACTGCACTTGGGTCCCGTGCACGTGTCTTAAAGGCATAACACGCGTCCATGGTTTTAAATGCTAGAAGTCTGGTTAGTGAAGCTTGTTAGCAGACAATTAAAGCTCAAATATATAGTTTAGGGCGTGGTTTCAGGAAATCAGAGATACTCTTCCGTAAACTGAAATCGTTATCAAGTGTTGCAGAACCGGAAGAAGCTAAAAGGGAAGTAGGGATGTTGCCTTCGAGATGTGAACAAACATTAGGAGGTAAGGAGGTGGGAATTCGGTAGGGATTTGACGGAACTTGAGTGCTGGCAGAACTGTGAGGGCAGGTAACACTTTCTAGCTGCTCACACCATGGAAGTTTACTACTTCTTGATGTGCACGGAGAATAAAATGGATTGGTGATAGTGGTGTTTGACCTCAGAGCGCATGTGCCATTCACCTGAGGCTACTCACACACTACTTCTTTAAAAGTTTGTTTTTTAACTTTAATCAATTCAAGCATTCTGCTGGCATAAGATGTCAGGTTGGGTAGCAGTGTGTTTTCTTACCTGTCGATTTTCTTCAAAAACGCTTCCATAGTGAAGGCAACATCAGCACGGACTGCTGCTAAGCCACGGGAAACAACTAACTTCTGTAACGCCGCCATCATGACTTAGTAGAGTACCCTATAACAAAAACAACAACTGATTTCTGTTGCCATTAACCAGCAGACCCTAATGGAATGGTTGGACTTCAAGAGAACAAACGTTCTCATTGGAATACCTCATTGGGTCATTGTTATATACAAGTTGGACTAATACGTCAACATAGCAGCTGTCGGTTGGTACTGGCTATGAAAAGACACTTCATCCACGTAAAACCTTTCTTAGTTCTGGTTGCATGAAAGTATTCACTCAGGAGGTTTTTAATATGGCAATGAAAAGGTCGATTAGAAGTGAATTTTTCTTATTTTATCATACAAATTCAGAATAAGACATTAAACTCACAGGTATTATTAATTGTTATGGAGAACAGGAAGTATAGAGAGGTTAGGTAATAATCTACCCCATTAAAGCAAAATACTTGTGTAACTCATATTATATTTCCTTATAACTTTTGATTTCCACAAAATAACTCTTCCAAGCATTTAGTTACTACTTTTTCATAACCGTACATCATGGTATCATGAAAAATGAAGTAATAAAGTTAAAACAATTGTATTCAACTGTGGAAAACGTCTAGGTGCAAGGAAAAGGTACTTTGACAGCAAAAAGCAAGAATAGATTCATTTCCTTTTTATGTTTGTTAAGTCATCGTACCATTCAAATAGAGAAATGTTATTGAGTACGTCCCTCTTATCGTTACTAGGATATCTAGTCAGGGAAGAATAGAAACAATCTTTGAAAATTGCCTGAAATATCGAAAACAAGATGATGTTTTTTGCTTTTGATTGATGTTGATCAATCATCCTTCCGGCTAATAAATTCGCTGAAGTTCTCCATCGTTCCCCTTGATTATTAATTAAGGGTAGCTAGGACAACGGACCGCTTTACGTATTGAACGATTGTATCATAGGAGCATATTTTCCAGTTCACAAAAGTTTCCAAGTGAGATGATCCTGTAATTCATATGTCATTTCGAAGAAGTGATGAATGTATCAAGTATTAATTTTATGTAAATCTCATGAAATTTGATATACTCTGAACTATCCTTCTATGCCAAGTAAGGACAAATCGTCTCACACCGGAGGATAAAGGGCGACTTTAAAGGCTACCTTAGCGACGACTGAAATAACCAATTAGATTTCTTCATTGCAGTTATAAAGGCAGATTTTCATAAAACGGAGAAGTTCGATTGGTTATTTCACTAGTTGCTAGGGTGGCTTTTAAAGTCATTCGACGATAAGTGAATAGAATGTTTGAAGATTCGCAAAGTAATCTCCACACAGTAATACTAAACATAAATAACAGTCTAGTCTTTATTTGACAGGACTAACTATTTTCCTTATTCCTCTTACTTTTTTGAAGGTTTAGATGAAAGCATACCAGTACTTTCTGTCGGCACGGGAAGTGACTTATATGTGGATAATAATCATGAGGTGTATCTAAAGACAATGACTCAATTAGTTAATCGAAGCTTGTAAGTTTTACTTTCGTCAGTCAGTGATGCAACTACCTAATCATACATTTTCAGTGCAGTTGTAGTTTTTAACCAACCAATGTTGAAACAATTCGAAGAAATATGGGTAAGTAGACATATATATCTTACTTTAGTTCATGTAAAAATTGTAATGACATACATAATTTTAGAAATGTACATAAAAATATAACTCTCTTTTAGGCATTCTTCTTCGTATCAAAGTTGATGGTAGTTTCATCTACATGTTATACCTAATAATCATTATCACTTAATTTTTGAGTAGTTTGTCGGTTTTATTTGATCCAGTAAATCCTGTTTTCTTTCTGATGAACTTTTTCAATGAGCATAATGAAAAAAAATATATTTATTGCATTGGCATACTTCAAGTAGCTTGATTCCAATGATAATTCGATTTTAACTTTCCTGTGAAATTTATAAACTTATATGAATGTCAGTAAGCACAGATTGAATGAAAGATATACTGAAATTGTTTGTTATGTTCCTTAGTAGTAATGTTGGTTCCATTCAATCAGTTTTATGGTGTTAAGAAATGTTCGGATGGGTGCAAAGTTTAATTTCTAGACGTATGAATACAGTCATCAATACATAAACCTGCGCGTTAAACACTTGAAAAGCAATTACATTTATTTCTCTTCCAAGTTGACACCTTAAATCTGCAAAAGTTATGTACAACACCAATGTTTCTTCCTTTTCATTTCAACTAACAACTGATTCCTTGGTGGTGTTAAATTAATTGATAAAACAAGTATTGCATGTACCAGTCTACTGCTTATCTGGAAATGAGATCCTAGTCAAAGTCGAGTTAAGATGGGCGAAATCCTAGGGCGAATATATCATGACATAGTGTCATTTCGTGAACTCTTTGACCGTTGGTTTTCAACGTTACCTGACTGGGGTCGTCGATAAGTTTAAAATCAATGTTTGTAGACTCTTAAAATTAAGGTCAAAATAGATCTTAAAAACACTAGTTCATACAGCCTTTATCATCTTCGAAGTTTATTTAACTTCATTTATTCATTTCCTTGTCTCTTATGCACTTTTTTTCATTTAATATCATTCTTTTTTCACACTTCTCCTGTGAAGCTTTGAAATGAGAACAGTTTGACTTCTTTGTAAGAATAAGAGATCTGGTCTTCCATTGTGTCTAACTAGACGATTCATTTGCAAGTTTGGACTCACATACACAGAAAGTAGTCAGTGTTGCAATGTTATTACATTGTGGGTGTTTGTGTGTCTGAAGGTCTCCCCTACTTCGTTAGCTCACGTCGAGTTTTCCTAATCTTCATCTGCGGCTGCTTCTGCCTTCGGAAATGTCAGGAAGTTTATCTTTTAAGTAAATACATGGGATTTTGTGAACTGCTATGTGCCTGCGTTCGGTTAACCACAGTCAAATAGGTCTTGATGAGAACTGGATACGTTAGCTGAAATGATTACTGATATGAATTGTTTACCAGTCTTTAACATGAATTTATGTATACTTTCATCCTAAAAGGTTTTATGCTATTACTCCTTTCCATATACTAACACACGTTATTATTATTATTATTAATGTCATCATTATGGTTACCATATATTGTTCACTTTTCTATACACAAATATCTAGCCTCGTTTTTCCGGACAGTTGAAAGTGATACGTCAAGGTAGGTAATTTCTAATGTAAATGTTAAAAAATTTAACTCGTATATAATTGCTGTTCATGTCAATCTTTAGATAATCTATAAAATATAGTAAATTACAATAAAGTTGTAGGATGAAATTTTTCGTATCATTCTGTTCATAGTATACTGTGGGTTTTTAGCTGTTAGTCACGAATATTCAAACAAAATACATATAGAGAAAGGCAGATTAAGAAGTAAGTTGACAAAGTATGGAAAGGAAAATATGCAAAATAAAGCGAACTCATTCAACTTTTCAGTTGTCTACTCATTAGTTTCAAATAGTCTACAGATACAATGATTAGCGTTAATTTTGACTAAATAAATGATTTACTTCATCCGGGCGATACACAGTCGCAATTACAATGTCCTATATGTAGGTAACTAGAGTTACAGTGAAATAACCGAAAGCTAATGGTAGTTACATGTGACATGATGGAAATTTCTACTCTTTGGAAGTAACGGGAAAAAAAGTTGAGAAATGAACCAATAGTATCATTATTAATAAATCGGAAATTGTATGGGCAAATGGGAAGATTTGCTAGATTACAGTTGAATTCGACTCAGCGAATCCAAATCAGCTAGTTATAAAGTACGAGGTTATACTTGAATGCAAACCCAGTTACCATTGGTTATATGGAACAAACACGAATTAAATTAGAAATGGTGAATACCACATTATAATTCAAATAGATTGACGATGCTCTTGATTTATTAAGCACTAAAAATTGTTCGTCTTGCCTACTCCAGGAAGTAAACTCTGTTGTCAACTTTGACTTACTAGGCTGTATTTTATTTTAAGAAAGTGGTGTTATAATGCATGGGGCTATGTATAAAAAGCATAATTCTCATCTTGCTAGATATAAATCCAGTCTACTAAAAACACTTATTAGCAGAGTCAAAATCCCAAAATAACAGAAACATATTATAAAAAAACTAAACGTTACAGAAAAGGAACTTTTGAACAATGAGAATCTTTCAGAAGTATGTTATGAGATTTGACTTATAAAATACGTAGAATCAAGTTTTTATATGCTCTGCTCTAAGAAAACTATTATCAGGTATGCAAAAGAAATACTTAAACTGACCTTTCTTCAAGCTAGTTTTGCTATGATGACCCGTAATAACTACCTAATGAGTCAATTTAAAGTGTAAAAATCCTTTGTTTATCCCTTTAAATTGCACTTACAAACTAAAATGTACCTATTATGCAAACTCTAACTTATTTCTGAAATTTATTCCATTCCTTCGCTCATTACCACTTCATAATTATGGTTTTTTTTCATGATATTCTTAAACTGTAATCAATTCATGTTCCTATTCCTTTCATACAAAAATCCAAAACATTGAATTAAAAGGGAGACCTTAACAATACAAAGAAGTGATTGAATACATAAATGATGTGCCCTTAGTTATGATTTTATCAGGGATTCAGAAAGTGAATTTGCCTCATTAGTGAGCAAACTGAAACTGGCTTACACATTAAATAAATCCATGTTTCAGTTTTTGCATACATCAAGACCAAAGTTCGACTTAACTGAATTAAATACATCAAGCAACGGTTGACTAGTTTAAAAAGGAATATTTTTATCAAACTCCAGTGGGATAGTTAAGTAAATTTCTGATATTTTGCAACTTTTTGACTCTATATTTCAGTGGTTCAGTAGTTCTAGTTGTTCTTTTATATTATACAACTTAGTTTTAGATGGATAAAATGAGGAATATTCAACAAAAATGTTATCTTGTTGACATATAGCACAGTTCATACTTATTCATTCATCCCAGTAAAATTTCGAATGATAAATTATTTTCAATTATAAACAAATTTGATGCTATTTTAAAAAAAAAATGATAAACACAATCACTTTGTGATATCCTAGAGAATTTACACGTTCCTGCCATTTGTGTTCGTGTAAACATCGTAAGGATAGATAGTTTATGACTTATATACATGCATATACATGCATATATACACTTAATCACTGATTGATATACAGTTTATACTTTCATCATTACCTGAGAACACATTTTCAAATACTGTATAAAATTGTTAAATCGCACAATGATGTGAAAATGAATTGTTCCATTATAAACAATTCACTTTGATTCTTAAGGCAAAGAAAATGCGCTAAGCATACATTTGATGAGAAACAAACAAAACTTTTTTATCATACGTACATCATAAACAACTTATCATGATCTTGACAAGACATTGATCATACATTACACACAATTGGACAAACTATTGATTTCTAGACAGCTTAAATGTCCCTTTCAGGGTTCATGATGCTGTTACTATGATATGGATGAAGACTAAATGTGGTACCTTGTGATAGAATGCGTTTTCTTGCGGAAACTTAATTTCAACGTTTAACGTCGGCTGAAAAAAAGTGACCCCGCAAATCTCCGACTTGCTACTTATTAACTCTTATATGAATAAAGATTAACTAATCCAGTCAGTGAGAATGTTATTCGTTTTATTGAAGTTTTCCTGTCACCCACTATTTAATTACTTTTTACAGAAAAACTAAGATATAGAAATGGTTGATTATATAACCTTTCAAATCATTAAAATAACCTTCATACATGGAGCTGTGTGGTTACTTCTAATGAAAATCATGTTCATATATCGGAATTTATTTGCTGTTCTGATTACAATGTTTCATTTCATCAACATAATGATACCCTGTAAAACCATGTTTTTATTACACCTAACAGTCTTTGAGAATCGCTTAATGGAACTGTAACATATCTTCCAAAAAGCTTTTTAAGCAAAACTAAGAAAAATAACTTTGATAAAATGAAACAAACCTCTTGGTTTGAAAATATGCAGTAAATGAACATCTTATTTAAGGGCTAGAAAACCATAATTTTATCACTAAAATTCTTTTCTTAACTGGAAACTTTATTCATTCTGCGCATAAAAATGAAATCAATGATCACTAATTATAAATAACCTCTCATTTCTTGTCTAAAAAATTATTTTCATTTGTCTTCAAACACAAGCAACATTAGATCTCGCATAACTGCATATCCATCCAAATTAAAGCTGTTCTGTAAATGTCTACGCCATGGTATCAGGACTCGTTGATCATTAGTTTCTGTTATTTCAACCCGGAACCTTTTATCACCCTATAATACATTGCTAATGCTATCTATGCCTTGGTCAACTCCACCAATGAGTTTCTTCAGGTCACACTGCCGTATCTGAAGTAGCCTTTCCGAGTCAAACTTCACATCAGTGTGTATAAAACAATTACCTCCATCGATGAAGACGTGACACCTGTAGCATTTATAAATGCTTTTTTTTGATAGACATATTTCACTGCTACTAAATAGCTTAGAAGGTAACACTTGGCGATTATAACTGCTACACTGGAGACGATATTTCATTACTGGCCATTTTGCTAGAGTTGACTTGAATTTCCAGGTACTCATTGACGTCCACCTAATCAAGATATACCTCAGCTCTGGTCGTTCTTATTGCATCAATTTCCATCTGAAAATTGAGAAATCTTCCATAAATATTCTGAACTTAGCACTCAACATTTTCATAAGACTACACTTTGCCAGCATATTCTAAGTCTCTAGCAAGAATATCAATCTTAAGGAAACTATAAGGAAAATAAATGACCTGCTTGAGAATGTTAGATAAAATGAAGTGAACAAGAATCCTTTTTGGATATAACCTGTACTTTACACCACAACAGATAGTTTGGCTTACGGTTTGACTCCCTCGTAAGCGACAATTAAAATACTTTCACTGAAGTGATTTACTTACCAAACTTGCGCTTTAGTGGCTGATTCTCCTTGGAGAGGCTTTGACTGATGGAGTTAAGTAATACGTATGGATTGCGGATGTCCCAAGATCTGGTTCATATATATATATATATATATATATATATATATATATATATATATATATATATGACTGGATAATAATTTGCCCAATTTTCACGAACCAGCTGTTATCGATTTCATTGTTAAGGAAATGCTTAATCTCTGGTCCCCATAAAATTATTCGCCTCCTGTATTTATTACTTTTGAAGTGAGGGTGAATAATAGATAGGGTGTGAAAGGAAGTGAGTGACACCTTCCGTCGTTCTATTTAATAACAATATTTCAAAAGTATTAGTCTACGATATTTTCCTCTCACATTTGTTCCGTTTCGTTCAGTTTAGTTTCTCCAATTTTTTGAGACAAATAATCCCTTTCACGAACTTGGATAAATTAATTACAAGACAGTTTACCTGAGAAATGTGATATGCTTATGTTGAATATTTCGAATAATCTGATCACATATTTACTAGTTAAGGAATTTTGTTTTAGGAAAAATGCATGTGGTAGGACTAATATGGCAGTAAGGAATGCAATAATAACAACTGCCTACACTCGCTACTGAGGATCAGATGGCCAGAATAATAAGAATAAGCAACAAGGAACTCTAGCTGGCAACAAACCAACCAAGAACCTGTCGCTGAACAAATATGCACTGGAAGGAAGTGGAGATGGATTGGGCATACACTGAGAAGGCCGACTGGGGACATCACGCATCTGGTCAGGCCAGGCACTCGAGTGGAACCCTGATGGGAAGCGACGAGTTTGGCGTCGGAGGTGAGGGTGACATGGATGAGATGGTGTGAGGAGGAAATGAGAGGTTGTGGGCTGTCGTGGAGCCAGGTTCAAAAGATTTCAGAGAACAGAGCGCATTGGAGACGTGCTACTGAAGCTCTATGTTCCATTAGGAACCCAAGGGACAAATAATAATAATAATAATAATAAGGGTAATGAAGGGAGAGTGATAAGTTTTAAAGTTCACCGTGGTAATAGGATAAGATAAACATTATCAAGGTAGATTTAACGTCAGGAAAAACTGTCTTTGTGTATGGCTAACGCTTTAGCAAAGCTAAGTATATACACCTGACAGTTTTGATACAATATTGTGCAGGCAGGTGCAATATCAATCTCATGATATTTATCAATAA